GTTACCTAGCAACAGTGTATGTTAACGTTAGCTCAGTCAACGTAGGCTAACATTAACAGGTGTAGACAGAAAATTATTATTCTGACCTGAGATAATTTACTGAATCAACCAACTCACATCTCCTTTCTTTTCATCCATGATCACATTAAAGTCATCTGTTGCTGCTTCTGGCGTTTCATCGCTGACTGTGCCGCGACCGCGATGCGATACCCGCTCATTATAACTTTCAGTGAGCTATTTTTAGAGTGTGCACGCGACGTTCCTGGACGCGTACGCGTGAGTCTGTGCCCTGCTCGGTCCTGCTCCTCTGTGGTTCTACATCAGTGGTTCCCAGACCCTGAGGCATTTCTGCTTAGGCCTACCCCCTCTCTTCCACTTAGACTGCAACTTTTCCATTAAAGGACAATATTTGGCCGAAATTGACTTTCCAAAGCATTTTTTATCTTTATAAATAAAATATTGATGTTTAAAAAAAAAAAAAGTTCAATAGATTAATATGCAATGATGATTAAAAAAAAGTGAAAAGTGATTCTAATACTAAAACCGCGAGTAGGTGGCGGTAAGTCACTGTCTTAATATTCTGACCTGAGATAATTTACTGAATCAACCAACTCACATCTCCTTTCTTTTCATCCATGATCACATTAAAGTCATCTGTTGCTGCTTCTGGCGTTTCATCGCTGACTGTGCCGCGACCGCGATGCGATACCCGCTCATTATAACTTTCAGTGAGCTATTTTTAGAGTGTGCACGCGACGTTCCTGGACGCGTACGCGTGAGTCTGTGCCCTGCTCGGTCCTGCTCCTCTGTGGCGATGATGGCGTGCGGTTAAAAAAATCATAACAAACGAATTTGAAAGTGGGGGGGACACAAACGTGATTTTGAAAAGTGGGGGGGACATGTCCCCCCTGGAAATTACGCCCCTGGTCATACGTAACACACTGTCTGTGTCTTGGTTTCTAAAGGGTATTCTATTCTATATTGTGTGTTACAAGAAATGAAGCAAGCAGGAAAGAAAGTCAGCCTAAAAGAAAAAAGGACTGAAAAAAGGACAGTGTTGTCATAATTTCTTAAGATATTTGTCATGCTTGACATTAAAATGCAATGTGAAACCCTTTGGTATCAAAGACATTTAAGATTCAATTCCTTCTGTCATTCCACATTTTTCTTTATTTTTCTATGTAAATTAACTTGTTGGGCCAGTTTGAAATTCTGCTGAAAATTCAAATACCACATGATATCAAACGAGTAAAAAAGCTATCAATTTACTATTTACTACAATGTAATATCTCTGTGACTTCTCTTAACAATGACCTCATAAGAGTTTGTATTGATCATGACTGCACAAATATACCTGCAATTAATTAACAATCCATATAACAATAAGTGCAAACTGTGAAAAATGTTCTCAGTGAAGTGATTGGATATGTGCTTGACTGCTTTGCATACTAAAAAGAATATGAAGATTGAAAGAGAATGACAAAAATGGAGGAGGAGCATAAAGAGAAAAGAAATGGACAGATGAGTGACGGATGAGGAGAGCAACTCGAGAAGCACAACTATATAAAAGGGATTGGAAGTGTCTCAGAGGACAAAATTACCTGCAGCATCCATTCTGCTAGCAAACAGAGGGACTGTGTGAAGATGTGGAGATTAACATGCGTTACGTTGACCCTGCTCATGTGTGCCAAAGGTAAGGTATCATGATACATCTATTAGGGTTAGGATAACCATGAACAAAGACATTATACAGAGAGAACAAGAGCTTGTTAAATTAATATGACATGAAACTTGCAGTTCAGTATCATATGTTGATTCGTATGACTTATTCACTTGACCGGTAACTCCTGGGATAGTGACTCATATTGAATCTTTTATCAAAAGAGCCGACTTGTAAGAATCATTTGTTCATCAATCAGACTAAACAGGTTGCTGTTTAATCAGATTCACAAATAAATTACGCTTATGAGTCGGTTCTTGTATTTGCATGAAGCATGTGAAGAACGCTGGTGCAGGAAACACTGTTGTGATGTGTCATGTCAGAAATACACTACCAGTCAAAAGTTTGGAATAATTAAGATTTTTAATGTATTTGAAAAAAGTTGAATGCTCACCAAGGCTGGATTTATTTGATCACAAAGTAAAAACTGAGAAATGAGAAATATTGTGAAATATTATTATAATTTAAAATAACCGTTTTCTATTTAAATATATTTAAATAATTGAAAAGTATATTTAAATTATATCATGGAAAAGATAAATATTCAGCAACCATTACTAAATATATTCCAAACTTTTGACCAGTATTGTATGTAAATACAAGTTATGCCCACCAACTAAATTGTTAACTGAATCTACCATTATTAGTGCAATAATGCCATAATGTGTGCAGGGTCATTATAAAGGAAACATGAAGATAAAACTGTTCTAATGTGCAGTTTATTTCTGCCCTTGCAGGTTCACATTCTCAGTTGAATGGTAAGAGCTCCTCTCATTCTTCAGACGTCAACATCAAGTCATATAATAGAAATGTAGAAATACTTATGTGAATAATCTCTGATCTCTTTCTCATAGTTTGTGGACAGGCTCCTCTAAACACCCGTATTGTTGGTGGTGTGAACGCACCTGATGGGTCGTGGCCGTGGCAGGTCAGTCTGCACCGTTCTGGATATCATTTTTGCGGAGGCTCCCTCATCAACAATGAATGGGTCCTGACGGCAGCTCACTGTTTACCTGGGTAAGATTCACCTAAACACATATATGCACCAGTTTTGTTTTAATTGGTAAAAAGACTGAAAGAAAAAAAAAAGATGTAATGATGTCTTAAGATATTTGTCATGCTTGACATTCAAATGCAGTGTGAAAACCTTTGGCATTCAAAGACATTTCGGTTTCAATTTGTTCTGCTCTTCCACATTTTTTATTTAAATTTTTTACCAAATGCCAAAATACCAAATGACATCAAATAACATTGCAAAATAAAATAAAAAAATTCTGTTTTCTCATTTTCACATTCTCTGACTGTATTTAGTGTCAGCGCATCCAGTCTGCGTGTGTATTTGGGAAGGAGGACACAGCAGGGAGTCAATGCCAATGAAATCAGTAGAAACGTGAGAACGATAATCGTTCACTCCTCTTATAACAGCAACACAAACAACAATGACATCGCTCTGCTCCGGCTGTCCTCCACGGTCACCTTCAATAACTACATTAGACCCGTGTGTCTGGCGGCCCAGAACAGCGTCTTCCCTTCTGGCACCAGCAGCTGGATCACAGGCTGGGGAGATAACAGCAACACAAACAACAATGACATCGCTCTGCTCCAGCTGTCCTCCACGGTCACCTTCAATAACTACATTAGACCCGTGTGTCTGGCGGCCCAGAACAGCGTCTTCCCTTCTGGCACCAGCAGCTGGATCACAGGCTGGGGCGATGTTCAATCTGGAGGTACCAA